CCTTGGTTAGGAGCCAGTCTTGATGGTACTGCTATGGATGGAAAAGAATTTTTGCGAAATATTGAAATTAAAACCCCTAAAGAAGGAGAGAGGCTATCAGCATCAGAGCTTTTAGAAATGAGAGCTGTCAAGACTTTGGATAAGGATAATGAAATTAGAAAGAAAACGGATCATTATGCACAAATGCAGATTGGCATGCTTTTGAGTGGGCTCTCGGAATGTGATTATCTAGTATATTCTGTAATGGGAAATGATTTTGTTTGGAAAAGAGTCCCATTTGATGAACAATATGTATTTGATCTTGTTTCAAGACTCATACATGTGTATTTTGATAAATTTTTGCCCAGAATGATATTAGATTTCACTCAAGAGGAGTAGTTCCGGCCTATTTAATATACCATACGGAGATTTAAGAAATTTGAACTGTTAGAATGTTATTTTTTTAACTTTGAAATTGTTGAAAATATTATCAAACTTTTAATTTTCACTGTAGCAAACATGTGATTTAACTTTGCTTGTTATATTGTTATTATATAATGTAATCTCTTAAATATTAATTTTTCTGTTTTTTAATTCTTTATGTTTTGTATTTTGAAAAGATGTGTGCAATATTGATATGCAAATATATTTTAAAAAGAATTTTATTCAGATCTTTCAAGCACTACTACAATACGTATATATGAAGAGTTGATAAAAGAGTAAGTTTAGTTAAAAAAGTGTTATTCTTTGTTTTTCCTTTGTATTAATATGAAAGAAATTAAAACAGTTTTATTGAAAACAAATTGCACAAAATTGGTAAAGCAATAAATTTTAAACGTGATATCTGCACAGTTAAATTTCTGCTGTTTATTTCCAAAAGTATACACCTTACATAAACTTATCTATGTTAATGATTGGGGCACCAAGATTAGTTAAGCCAGCTGCAATTATCAGTATGTCATCAAAATAGTGAGCCAGTGGCCAAGGTACTGGACCTTTCAATAATTCAAATTCTCGTAGTCTCTGAATAACCCTCTCCACATGAACTCTGGCTCTGGCAATGTCTGCTGTGCTCAAAGCATCCGTTCGGTTCATCTGTTGCTTTTGACTCAAAAAAGGAGGTCTTATTAGTCGTAGATTTCGCTTAAATAAAGAAAAAACAGTATGAATTGAGGAGTATTACATCAGTACAACATGAGTACAGTACAAAATTGCAGACAATCTCACCTGCAAGCATTCTACTTCAATTCGGAATCCTTTGTCAACCATAACTCCATCATAAAAATCCAGTTTATCAAGTACTCCTGTTTTATTAACAATAAATTTATCAGAGGCGCGGCCTCCAAATGCGTAGCTGATTTCTATGATGAGTCCAGATGGAGTTATCCCAACATCAAATTTAACAGTGTGATTTTTCTTATATTGAGAGTAAGTAAGCACTCTACACTTGAGACATTTGCATTTTTCTATTACTGTCTCAGCACAATCCAATATTATTCGAGTGGATTCGTATTTTTTGAAGGACAGTGGCAAATTTTTCCTGACTATTTCTTGGTCAGGCCATGGTATCATTACCTTCAACACTCTTGATAAAATAGGTATTGTGTCTTTGAAATAATTAGAACAAGTTTGCCTGCTAATATTAAATAGAACGGCAATTGCAGTAAAATTCACATTTAATTTTATTTTTGCCATGGTAAGAATAAGCCTGTCTCTTAAAGATAGTATCTTTTTATTAGTTGGGGTATCTACCACCAAATCTGACACACAATCCACTAAACCATCAAGAAGATCAATAGAATGTATGCCAGTAAAAGTATAAAGCTTAGCATCAGTGGTCAGCAAATCTGGGAGGATGATATCTTTTTTGTCTGTTAATTGACGAGGACTGACCACAGTTGGGAATGGATATCGACTTGGTTTCACTTCAAAGTTTACCTGACAAACTTTATCCAGAGTGTTAGACATTTCACTAATGATGTCAGCCAAACTTCGTCCCACTTCATTTAATAATTTCAGAGGCCTAAGGTCTGTTAGATTTGCTTGAGTAGATACGACATTAAAGTACTTCTGGCTTAATTTGAGGAGCTTCTGTTTCATTATCTGAATGAACTGTGTTTATTTCCTCTGCAATCCCATCATTTTCTCTGAAAATAACAACAAAAGAACCAGAATTAAGTCACTTTTAAAATTTCCTTCTTCAGTAACTATGTTTCCTTCTATAAAAAGAAAAAAATAATATATATACAAAGGGTGATACTCACGTTTCATTCCGCTCTCGACCATGAGCTCTCTGCTGCCTTGTCTCTTTCTGCTTCTTTTGGGGTGATGTTTCCAATTTGTCATGCAATCGGTGTGGTAGTTTTTGGGAGGGAATCGCATGAGGGAAAAGTTTACGTCGTTTTGAATCTACGGAAATATGAAAACTAAAAAACAGCCATCCTGAGGATGATACTTTTTAGATTACCTACGAGTTATACTTTTGTACGCGCTTGGGACAGGAAAGCGTTAGGCAGGGTGTTTCTGTGATCACCGGAAGAACGCTGGAGTGATTTGGCTCTAATTTAACACGTCACAGTTTATTCTAAAGATTGTTATCACAATGGTTATTACACAAAGTATTATCACAGGGTGAATTTCTCTTCCACTCTCGCACTGGTGGCTCGAGAACCGGTGTAGGCAACGAGGAGAACAAGCAATTCTCCTCCTTGCTTTCAGCTCCGAAAAGACTTGGCTCAAGTCCCGCGATTCGACCGACACACCTTCCGCCTCCGATGCACGATTTGGAAGTGAAGACTCGCGACGTCCGCGGTTATATTTATAAGTCATCGTTTCTAGAATGTTCCATACCGGAAGGCTTTGTTACCTCCCCCGTATTAGGAACATTCCAGAAACGATCTGTTGATATTCTGCGTTTTTAAACTGACACTAAGGTCGCGCGATGATAGTCGTAACTGCCGCCTACCCCCCCGCTGGGGGACAGGCGCAGTGCGCAATCGCGATGGGCGAGCGCGCTCTGCCCGAAAAGGAGCCTCGCTCCCGCTGCCAAGCTCCGCTGCTATGGCGCGAGCTCGCGATGTTTATCCCCTTCGGGAATCAGTTACTTCGGACGAGTCGGGCACATTTCAGGGCGGCAATTTCTTTGATTGCGCCACTGAGTGTCCGGCTCGTCTCCGAACAACTTTAATATCAAATATGCAACTTTTATGAAGATATCTCGGGAACAACTTAAAATGACTTACTTCCAGGAAAATAGTCTTTAAGTAAAAAATGCTGGGAGCAAACGCGACTTGATGATGATGCCGGTTTGCCCATCTTCAGAGCCCACTCCCATTTTTTCTTCAATTCTTCGTTTTTTGGAAAAAAATGCAAACCAATTGCCGGTGAGAAGTAATTGCAACATTGCGGGACACAACAATAATATCCTCTTCGTTCCAAGAGGAGAACTATTTTTTCCGTGTGTAAGGTCCATTATTCTTCTTCTTCTCTGGTTATTGGCTCCCGGCTCACAGACACTGAGCCGACACGGCCACGTCGAACCAATAGACTTAATAGTATTGCTTGGAATGTAGTGAATTGAACGATGCAATGGCCCGGTAAGTCCGGTAACCGGGCCACACGCGGGATGATGCAATCCCGCAGGATCAAAAACGGTACTTATCTTCCGTCGGAAGACGTGTGAACCGCTCGACGGCCCAGACGGAACTAAGGTCCATTATTACAGCAAAATTAAGCTGTCAAGCTGTCTCATTTATGCTAGTTCACTTGTGGCCGCCAGGTGCGCTGGGGAGAATCTTTGCGTCGCCAATCACGCATCCTCTCCCTCTTCCTTCCATTTCCTGTTTTCACCGTCCGCCTTCTTCCTCTCCATCCCACTTCGTCTTTCCTTTTTTCCTTTCCTGCTTCCTCCTTGTGGTCCCTCTCGCTCTCCTCTCTCCTTCCTACAATTATTTCATTTATTATTTACTCCTTATATTCTCCTCCACTCCTCCCCTTTTCCTTCTCCTCTCCCACCCATCACCACTCCCATCCACCCTTCCGCATCCCTCTATTTTCAACCTTTACCTCCCTTCCCCTTTCCCTCTCTACTCTCTCCCTCTCTACCATCCTCCATCTCGCTTTCCTCTCCTCCATATTCAAATCTCATTTCCGTTACCATATCATACTCTACCCTCTTCTCCTAACCTTTCCTCTACCTCCCCTAACTCTGTATCCCTCCCTAATACATCTCTCGCTATTCTTTTTATACCACACTCACACATACACTCTCTCTCTCTCTCTCGCCCTCTCTCGCTCTCTCTCTCTCTCTCTCTCTCTCTCTCTCTCTCTCTCTTCTCACACACACACACACACACACACACACACACACACACACACACACACACACACACACACACACACGCACACGCACGCACGCACGCACACGCACGCACACACGCACACACGCACACACACAAAGCGCAGCGTAAAACGAAGAACTATTTTTGTTTCATAATATAAATCGACACTCCCTCCCTCATTCATTCACTCATTCGCTCTTTGCTCCTTTATCCTCCGTCTCCTCGTATCCTGCCCTCTCCTCCCACCACCACCTTCCGTCTTTCTTCTCCTCTTGATCTCTCTCCTCTCCCCTTCAGTCCTTTTCCTCTCTCTCCCTGCTCCTCCATCTCTCTCTTCCTCTCCGCCTCCTCTCTTCTCTCCTCCACAGCTACCTTCTCTTCCTTCCACCCTCCTCCCCCTCATGTCCTCTCCTCCTTTTGTCTGTCTTCTTCTCCGTTCCTCTTCTCTCCTTCTCGCTCTCCGCTTGCCTTTCCTCCTTTCGCTTCCCTCTAACTCGCTCCTCTCTCTCTCCCGGTCGCTCTCTCCACTTTCCCCTTCTCCCTCTCTCCCTTTCTCCTGTCTCCGCTTCTCTCACCTCTCCTTTACTCGTCTCCTCTCTTACTCTTTCTATCTTATCGATTCCTCCTCTGCCTTTCTTTCTCCTTTTCATCTCTGTCTCCGCTTTCATCTCTCCCCTCCATCTCCTCTCCCCGTCTCCTCTGCTTCTCCCTCGTTCCGCTCTTCTCCGCCTTGTTCTTCTCTCTCTCCCGGTCACAGTCTCCGCTCTTTCTTCCTCTCTCTCCCTTTCTCCTCTCTCTGCCTCTCTCACCTCTCCTTCGCTCGTCTCCACTCCTGCTCTCTCCCTACTATCGTCTCCTCCCTCACCTTTCCTTCTCCTTTTCACCTCTGTCTCCTTTTTCGCCTCTGCCTTTTCCTCCGCTTTCGCTTTCCTATGCCTTGTCACCTGCACTGCCTGTCCCCTCTCCTACTCCTTCTGTACTCCCGAGCACCTTCTCCTACCACCTCCTCTTCCTCCTGGTCGACTTCTCGATTACTCGCATCTCGTCGACCAGCCCGATCTCTTCTGTCTCTCTTCCTCCTCTCCATCGACGTAGCTCCTTGCTTGTCGCTCCCCTCCTCCATCTCCTTCGATCTCTCGATCCTCTCGACCATCCTCTTCCTTTTCTATATCGACTCTCGTTCCTCCGCTCTCTTCTCCCCTCCGCTCTCCTCGCTCCAAGACTGCCGACTCATGCCATCTCACCTTTTCCACTCCAATTTCTCTTCCGCCTTCCACTATTTTTTTTCGCCTCCATGTCCCCCGATTCCTCTCCCGTTCCTCTCTCCAACGCTCCTTCCTTCTTACTCTTACTCCGTTCCAATCCTTCCTTTCGCCACTCTTCTCACGACAGACTCTCACATCTTTCCTCCTCGCCATCTTTACCCCCTCTCCAATGCATTTCTTTTAATATCTCCCAATCTTCGAAGTAAAGCTTCTTGCTCTTCTCGAACATCATTTAATTCTTCATTATCATCTATTTTTTTACGTAGGGAAATCCTTTATGGATACCCGGGCCCCCCTATGGGAAGGGAGTTTACAAGTGGCCCGGGTTATGTGGAACTGCCCTCCTAGTGTCGATCGGAGTGCGCCCGGCAGGCGTGCCGGGCGCGTGGCCTACCCACTAAAACCCTACGGTGGTCTGCGCGGTGCTTTTTACTTGGGGGGGCGACCGGGAATTGACGAAGTCATTACATCCGCACCGCCCCCCACACCCGGCCCGCCGTTAGTTTGGCGGGCCTTCGCGCTCGTCCTCACCCGCTCTTTCCTCTTCTTTTCCTCCCCTTTGAGTCGCCTCTTACGACAGGCAGGGGCTACCCCGGGCCTATTCGCTAGCGGGACCCGGACGCGATCTTCATTATCATCTATGACATCTTCGAATTCCAAATTAATATCATCGTCGTTATCAATACATAAGTTGTGTAAGACACAAGAAATAATAAATTTTGATATTTTATCAATACTGTGAAGATGTAATTCCGTAAGTTGTCGAAAACGAGCTTTTAACAATCCGAATGTAATTTCGATCAATACTCGTGTTGCACAGAACCGTTCATTGAATTCACGTTGTTTATTCGTTAGATTTCTGTAATCTCTATAGGGAATTAATAGCCATTCTCTTATAGAGTATGCTGCATCTCCCAGTAAATGATATTTGCCTTCACATATTGCTGGTAAATTTTCATTAATATCCGACAGCTTTAAAACACGTGAATCGTGGATCTTTGCTGGAACACCAGTAAAGACATCAATAAACCTTTTTCTAGCATCGCATATGCCTTGTAGAGTAATAGACGGTATGTCATGTCTGTTCACATAAGTAGATCTAATTTTATGTGCTGATGTTATCACTTTGCACCCCCCGATGCACCATTCCCGGCATTCCACCCGCCGGATGCCGCCCGACCGAACACCCGTCGGGCGAGACGCAGGCGCATAGCGCCGCATAAACTCACGACACACCGGCGCGCGGAAGGTCCACCACCTCAAATAGAGGAAGCAGTGGCTCCGGAGCCTGTTCAAAGAAGGGTACTTCTGGAGCGAATTAGGAGGCCGCCAGCGTGGTTGGCAGATTACGTGTAGGGCGAAAACATCCTAGCATATTATTTCTTTCCACGGAGGGCAGAGTGTTATGTCATTACATATAGTTCAAATGCCCAGATAGCACATGGACGTCCACAGGATGTCCGATGGACGGCCGCATCTGGACATTCGGACGTCCAAAGTACGTCATTTAAGGCCCGTAGGATGTTCATTGGACGCCCATGGGATGTCCAAATGACACTGCTTTAGAGATCCATAGGACGTCCAAAATACATCCAACTTTGGATCTATTTTGGACCTGTTTTGGACCTATAACGGACGTGTTTTTGACAAATGTGTACCTATATTTTGGATAGGATTTTTAATAAT